AGTAGTAACTCGTGAGTCTTTGATTCACCGCAAAAAAGGGTTTGATTTACTATCCAGCAAAGAATATCAAAATGGAGAAAAGCACAAGGCATGTTCTGTGTCCAGCAGACAAAGGTTGATATCTTATAACCCAGAATTGTAGCAATTCTAAATATAAATTATGAAATCCTATACTAATCGTGATCATAACAAGCATGAACTGGAACCTAAGAGGAAGTTTATATTACACTCTGAATGGAATTTCAGTTGTGCATGTCATTTATCGATATCAATATCCCTTCCGACATGCATGCTGATCGCTCAAGATAATTATCAGTTCGACGTGAAAAGTGGTGTACGGTAAACATTTAACTGAAAGTCTTCAGTACTGTTAAAAAGACATTGTGAGTTAGTTTTACCGTAGACCCAACAAAAAGTCAATACCCTGTGTTTACCTAAAGTACGTATTAGGAAGTGATACTCTTCCAGTTTTTGTAACCGTATTGCGGAGAAGTTACACTAAAAGTGGCTTGCCTCGCCCAAGCGGTAGTACGAGAAAAGTTAATTGCATTCGCCGTGATGGGCCAACCTGGTAGTTAGTAACAAACCGAAACATTTTTAAATTACAGTTGCGGTTTTCTGACTAATTTTGAAGCACTTGAAAGTCGCCGTACAATATAAAAACAATAAAAATATGCGGAAGGTATTTGAATAATCGATGTATTGATCTCTAGATAATAAACGTGACAGGAAAAGCGCGGGCCGCGGGAGAAAAAGAATTGAATTTGGTAACCACCACTAACGTTAACCACCAAATTCCAAGCAGATAGTGCAAGGTAAATGAAATTATAGTACGGATGATACGCATGTGTTAGGCAAATCGCATTACTTACACACGTCGAATGGGTTGCCTATACAAAAGTGAATGTGTGTAAAATCTTGTTTGAACATTGAATAGAAAAAGAACCGGTAAATCAATTTGTGTTGGGCGCATAACATCGTAACCACCCCCTTCCATTAAAAACTTTCCTAAAATGTACCGGAACTTATATTAAATCGCCGCAACTTCTGATTACAATTTTAACATGACTAAAGGTGGAAGGGCGTATAATAGGGATGTAAGAGGAAAACTTTACACAGTAAACTTTTTTAAATAAACATCTGACGTTGTTTAAATTTGGTTAAGAGGTAAGTTTATATTGAACATTAATTATTGTTTATTGTTGTACGTAGGTATTACATCCGAGAACTCAGGCGTAAATTACCTCAACTAAAAAATATATTTCAACTCTAACAACTTTAGTAGGTACCTACATTCCCATTATTATTAGATACTGGTTCAACCGGAGATACGAGCATCCCTTTGGAAGAGGATTTTGCAGAAAAAGAAGAATTAATACTGTAATACAGTAATACTGGATAAATTTCCCCGCTTTGGTCGCTGAGGTCTGCAAAGAACAAGAGCCTGCTAGGCTCTTGAGAACGTGATTGTAGACAGAAGTAGGTATACAAAACATTGCCCATATTTTAAAAGAATCTGAAAAAGTGATCAACCACCCGAATAAATGTTATGGCATTTTATTTTTGTTGCAACAATTGCGGTAAAACTTGTATAATAAATTCGCGATCTAGCAAAGCCAAGAAGAATCGATACAAGCACTGGCATTAGTGATTATAATAATCAATCCGAGGGAACATTTTCTTTGATGAACACTCCTTTTATGTTGAGTAAAGCCCAGGCGGCTTCGATTGGCCTGCGTAGTTTACCTGAAGCGCAAATTTACAGCCACCCCACACACGCTTTCTTTCAGTTTTGAAATAGGTGTCGTACGAATTGTACCTTGTGCGACAATTACAGACATTTCAGAATCGGACAAAAAGAGGTAAATAAACAAATATCTACGTAAACATGAAAATAATAAAAACGGAGCGTGTTTTTTTCAGATTTGGACCGCTTGTTTGACTAAATGAGAACTGCGATCTCACGGACGACATTTTGATTCTTAGTTTGGTGTATATTCAATATTCTTACGCCATCTAGGTGTTTCCGTTGTAATCCACTAGTTTAATAAGATGTAAGTTATTCTTGCAGTAGAATTCTTTTACTTACTGCTTTGTTTTGTCGTTAAGAGTCCATCCAAGTGTTGTAGATTTCTCATTAGAACAGTTCTTTGTTTTACCGCACGAGTTCGTGCAGAGATTTCTTTTTCCTTCTTTTGGGCGCACGAACTTCTCTGTACAAAACGACATTCAACCGTTACTTGTAAGAAGAACGATCAAGCCATGTTGTACGGCTGTATAAATTTGGTGAAGTATTTCATTTGTTATTTTGCGTTCGACGCATCGCTTTCTACAATGATATTACTGAGTGGAGCAGAATTTTGGATTTTCTCAATATTGCACAAGGAAAATTCATTGGGAAGTTCCAACGCCATCTTGTGAATTCAAGCACGATATAGGTGAGTTTCTACATTGCCGGCTTGAAAAAAGTTATTGTAAAAAAACCAACAAACCGTTTTTTACTTGTTCCATAATTTTACACTTTTGCCGTTTATTAACGATACTAGAGATCGTTTATAATTTTGTATTGCTGTCTGTTGTCCGTCTGTTGGTCTGTCCGTCTGTTCCTTTGTCTGTCGGTCCCTCTATCTGTCCGTGTGAATGATAACTTTGTTTAGAAATGTAGTTATGAACTGAATTGCATGAAATTCAATATGGGCATAGCTTTAGCCATATAATAAGCAATGCCAAAAGCTGAATCGAACCGATTCAAAATTCACAGTGCCCTTTTCGCATCTCGACCATTTATAAACCGAATTGCAAATTTTTTTTATTTATAAAAGTATTTGAATGACATTTGATAGATAGGCACTTGGAATAAATGAAAATCAAACGCACGTTTCAATATTTTGTTTTGCACATGCGCAGTGCCAACTTTTTTATTTATGGAAGAATTTAAACGAAATTTGATACATAGGCACTTAAAATAAAGGAAAATCAAACGCACGTTTCAAAATTTGGTTTTGCGCATGCGCAGTGCCAACTTTTTTTATTTATGGAAGAATTTAAACGAAATTTGATACATAGGCACTTGGAATAAATGAAAATCTAACGCCAGTTTCAAAATTTGGTTTTGCGCATGCGCAGTGCCAACTTTTTTATTTGTGGAAGCGTTTAAATGAAATGTATACATTTACATAGGTACTTGTAATAAAGGAAAATTAAACGCACGTTTCAATACTTGGCTTTGCACAGGCGCAGTGCCAACTTTTTTCTTTACGGAAGAATTTAAACGAAATTTGATACATAGGCACTTGGAAAAAGGAAAATCAAACGCACGTTTCAAAATTTGGTTTTGCGCATGCGCAGTGCCAACTTTTTTATTTATGGAAGAATTTAAATGAAATTTGATACATAGGCACTTGGAATAAAGGAAAATCAAACGCACGTTTCAAAATTTGGTTTTGCGCATGCGCAGTGCCAACTTTTTTATTTGTGGAAGCGTTTAAATGAAATGTGATACATACGCACTAGAAAGCATTGAAATGAAATTCTTATAAACTTGAAGTAGCACGTCAAAAATGGATTGCATATTTGCAACGCTCTTTCATATTTGTCGCCGAATTTTTAACGCATTTCCACAAAAATAAAAAAAAAATGCGCTATTGTGGCCACTTTGTCCGTCCGTCCGTCCGTCCGGCTGTCCGTCCGTCCGTCCGTCCGTCCGCTAACTTTGCGACGCTACTAGTTCTTTATCTTAAGAGCTATTGTTCTATTTTTTTCGCTATTTGGTTCGTTATGGTGTCGAGTCTTGTACCAAGGAAGGAATTTTTTCTGTACCGCTTACAAAAAAAGTTATTGTAAAAAAAACAAAAAACCGTTTTTTACATGTTCCATAATTTTACACTTTTGCCGTTTATTAACGATCCTAGAGATCGTTTATAATTTTGCATTGCTATCTGTCGTCTGCATGCTGGTCTGTCCGTCTGTTCCTTTGTCTGTCTGTCCATCTATCTGTCCGTGTGAACGATAACTTTGTTTAGAAATGTTCGATCGCTTTTACATCTCCGTTAGTTATGAACTGAATTGCATGAAATTCAATATGGGCATAGCTTTAGCCATATAATACGCAATGCCAAAAGTTGAATCGAATCGATTCAAAATTCACAGTGCCCTTTTCGCATCTCGACCATTTATAAACCGAATTGCAAACTTTTTTACTTATAAAAGTATTTGAATGAAATTTGATACATAGGCACTTGTAATATAGGAAAATCAAACTCCAAATTTCAAAATTTGGTTTTGCGCATGCGCAGTGCCAACTTTTTTATTTGCGGAAGAATTTACACGAAATTTGATACATAGGCACTTGGGATAAAGGAAAATCAAACGCCAATTTCAAAATTTGGTTTTGCGCATGCGCAGTGCCAACTTTTTTATTTATGGAAGAATTTAAACGAAATTTGATACATAGGCACTTGGGATAAAGGAAAATCAAACGCCAGTTTCAAAATTTGGCTTTGCGCATGCGCAGTGCCAACTTTTTTATTTATGGAAGAATTTAAATGAAATGTGATACATAGGCACTTGGAATAAAGGATCATCGAGCGCCAGTCTCAAAATTTTCTTTTGCGCATGCGCAGTACCAACTTTTTTATCTATGGCACCATTTAAGTGAAATTTGATACTTAGACGCTTGGAACAAAGGAAAATCTAGCATTAGTTTTAAAATTTAGGTTTGCGCATGCGCAGTTCCAACTTTCTTATTTAGAAAAGCATTGAAATGAAATTCTTCTCATAAACTGAAATTGAAGTAACACGTCAAAAATGGATTGCCCATGTGCAACGTTATCTTTCATATTTGTGGCCGGATTTTTACGATTTTAACAGAAGTTGCATCTTATAAATGGGAAATGAATGCAAGTGGAAATGCGCTTTATGTAAATCGTTTACGATTACTTTTTAACTTGTTACAATTTTAACAGAAGTTGCATCTTACAAATGGGAAATGAATGCAAGTGGAAATGCGCTTTTTGTAAATGGTTTACGATTACTTTTTTAACTTGTATATTATATTATCGTAACTTGCGGTTCAAATGTGCGTGCTAATTTGATGGCGTTCTTGAGTTTTAGTTTTTTAAAGTTTGAAAGTTCTTGAAATTGTTAGGTTTTAGGTTTGAGCTTCTTAATTATAGGTTTTTGGAATTTTTCACTTTTTTCTTTGAGTACTTGAGTTTGAATTTTTGACTGGAGGTGTTGAGTTTAAGTTTTTGAAATTGAAAGCTTGTGACGATATTTTCTGGTCGTTTGGTATTATCCATTTGAGCTCTTGAATTGAGTAAATGTAAATGTTTTCTCTTGGTTACGCTATTACTCTTACTGGCTTGGGTCATACCTGAAAAGGGCATTATCGTTTTGGTGCGCTATAATTATCTTTGGAGTATTCTTTTCTTCCTTTCTGACGCTTGTGGTGACTCCATCGACACGGATTTACGGATCTGAACTTTGCATCTGACCAGGGGGGCTTTATTATCTCACCCCGTTGTTTACAATTTTCTTATTATTTCTCATCGTTGTTTCTTTTACGTTGGACCTACCTGGTTATTATGCAGTACCCACGCCGTATGTGGCTGAATTAACATTTTTAGTTGAATCCGCTATTTTTATGGAAGATTGAAGATTGGCGTGATGCGATATATGGACTTTCTACTTTACCGACTTATGACGTTCTAACTACATTGCCCCTATGAACCTACTTCGAGATGTGGGAGATGTGCCTATTTGCTCCGGAACCTTAATCGCAAGTATCTTTTCCGAAACGTTTGGAGATTATCACTGTCGTACAATTGTTCCAATATACTCGATTACTACATACGTACTTTGTTTTATCGTTACCGAAGATTCGACTTTTAACGATGTTGTCGACGATTATTTTTGTTGCTCTGACATTCATTTCTATTAGTTTGTTTGCATTGTATCCTTCCGATTAGATGTATTAGTTGAGATAGTAGATACCGTTGTTCTGTGAATTAATTTTGAAGTTAACGATACTTGATCCGAGACCAAAACCAACGATTTTTCACGATATTTGTTTTGCTTCGAAGAATTTGTTCATACTAGTCTATTTACGTTGCTATTGAATAGAGATTTAATTATTTGTACATCTTAAAGTATTGTTCTTAAAGTTTAACGTCACTTATATGCTTTCACATACAGAGATGTAAGGGCAATCTGTAATCGAACCAAATTTTGCTTTTGCTAGTATAAAGCCAATCGAGTTATTGATTCCGTTTAAGTATTAATTACAGTTCTTCGTATACGATTAGCCTTCGTGTCAGACGTTACCATTGCAATTCGCAATATAATTTGTGCAGCGCGATCGTTACCCCGCTTGCTTGTTTGTTGTGTTTTTGTCTGTTTACAGATTTACAGTACAGGCCCTTCTTGAGCTCAACAAGGCTGTTGCGACCTGTAGTTCAAAAAGTAAATTTTGTTATTTTCGTTGATTTCCCCTACTACGTTTGATTGCATTTTGGTTTTCGATACCACCGAAATGTAATTGTTACGTTTGCTTGAGATTAACTTATCGATTATTTATAGCTCCGTTGTTTCTGCGGAAGCCTATTTTGATAAACATTTTCTCCGACTAAGTCTTGACTCCCTTTTTTATTTTGCTCTAAAATTAATTTAAATTTAAATATTGACATAGCAGATCTATTTTTTACCTATTTGTAGTGTTATTGAGATCATTTGTCTGATGTTTTTGTTTCTGGTTTTTGGGATTTTTATCGAACTTCGCTATTTCTCTCTCGCTATTACTTGACGACCACGAGAGGGTGCAAACTTATTACTCGTGGTCCGAAAACGAAACGTGATTGCGGAATGCTTTACAATTGCACAAATATGGCCCTTATTTGATGCGGTCCTTTCCGCCACAGGAGTATTTCGAGAGAAACTGATCAGATACGTAGAAATTCGTAAAAATAAGAAACCTTGCTGTTTATATTGATGTTAGGATCAACGCTGCAAATTGTAATGTATCTGTTTAGCTAACACGTTAGGGAAGTTGGTCGATTTTGATTCGGAATATGAAACTGAGGGGCGTAACGACTATTCTCTTTTAGAAACAGTATTACTTACTTCCCAAGCAAATAGAATCGATTCCCAGCGTAACAATAACGGTGTTTGTATTTATAATGACTTTCAGGTAGGTCCAATAGTGACATGCAAAATAACTAAATATGATTTGTGCTTCTAAATAGGTACTTCCTTGTTTTATTTACATAACTCTAGAGGCGCGTTGAATATCTAACTAGCACTTAAACTATTAATTTACATACATGAATACATACACACTTAGGTATAATGGGGAAGAATAATAGTATTTGCGAGCCTATAAATCGCACGAACACTTACCTTACTCTCGCAGACCTTATGGCAGACATATTTGCAAACTGAAACAAATAATCAAGTGTTAGTGAGGAATTTTCGAACTGTCGGAAGCTTAAAATGATTAATGGCACGATGATACTAGTGACATGAATAATTTATTAATTCAATTCCAAATATGTTCAACTAATGGACATGAAATTAAAACGTTTTTAACAGGCGTCATTTACCTTGTTATATATGTCAATTACAATTATCTACAATTTTAAGTAATGTGGTTAATGTGTCGTCTCCTCTTCTCTTGCAGGATGAAAGTGCCGGTAGACGTCGGTAATCAATGTAACATAAAGAGGTCTTATTAACATTGCATTATATGTAAGTGTGTACTACGCGCGGCGACTATAACAAATTGATGTACGTAAATTAATAAATTAATGTTATTCAAGAGAACTCTTTTCGACGTTCTAGCCTTGTATAATTCTTGCTGAAGTTATATTGTAGAAAAAAATAGGAATTATCTTGTTTCGTTTTGGCGTAATTAGCATTAAAGCATGAAACAAGTTTATCCTTTTTTTGTACATAAGATGATGGGAATAACGAACGTAAGAAATTTTTACGTGATTGTTTTTCCCTGCATCTACTGTTAAATGACAAAATCTTTTCTGAAAGGCTCCTAATTTTATGCAACCAAAATAACTACTTAATACAAAGCCACTATCGTAACATGTTCGTAGTTACGTTACAGCTCAGTTGTTATAAGTGGATGAGATTTATTTTCTGTGAAGCCAAAGCAACAATATTCAAATTTATTAATATGACATCCAGATCTTTATTTGTTTTCAGAAGTTATTTTGGATGCATAAAATTAGGCGCCTCTCAGAAGAGATTTTATCATTTAAAAGTAGACACAGAGAAAAACAATATACATAAATCCCTATGTCTACTTCTTAATAAATATCACTGTATACAGGGTCATTCTTGACGAGCGTCAGTTAGAAAGATACGGAAAACCTTTGAAAATGAAAATAAACTGATAAGCCCTTTAAGGGTTTTGGCACATGATGAATTGAACTAAAATATTTTCAAAATGGCGCCACTTCCGGAAATACCGGAAGTAGCCATCAACTTTGTTATTTGAAATAGGGACCCCCTATTTTTTCTACATTTTCGGATTCTACGTCGAATTTGGAGTACAACGATACCCCATAGTTGACCCTTTGCTCCAAGGGCTTCGCCGATATTCAAGTTTTTGTGTCAAAAATTGAATTTGAAGGGATAACTTTAAAAATTTATTATTCGAAAACGGTGAGAGATATTGCAAAATAGTTTTCAATGCTTTATTAAGGAAAGATCGAATTTTCTTATGGTATGCGTAAGAGTGTAAAAAAGTGAGACTACGTCATTTTTTCAAAGCTCTCAACTTTTAAACTTTTAAATATCCGTAACTCCATTTTTTCAAATGGCACCCCCCCATTTTGTTTTTCACCCTTGTTTTCCTTTTTCCCAGACCTTTAATTTGATGCAAAATGTCAAAAGCTGCTCCAAACGGTTTCCGAGATATTCCGTGTTTTAGTTACTTCTTGTGGAAAGTTGATAAAAAAATTAAATCCCTTGATGTTATTCTTTTGTTTTTATTATGATCATGTTTAAACGTCAAATTTTCGCTGCTTGAACTTATACTTCTCAATTTCTCGTTGGATATCATTGAGCGATGCAGTTGGATTTGCAGCAAAATACGCCAGTACAGTTATTTCTTGTTCTTCAGAGTCTACCACAGGCTTCCTTTTTTGTATTTTTGTTTGAAAGATACCTACCGTTATTCCTGAAATTTTGTAGTAATTTGCGAATTGTAGCCTCTGTGGGTTGCGCCTTGTCAGGGTATCTTTCGGAAAAGGACGACAAGTCCTGGCAGCTATTCGATTACATTCACCGTGTATTAATATTAAATTCAAAAATCTTCATTAGTGTAACCCAAACGAGCCATTATTGACGAGAAGTATAAGTTCAAGCAGCGAAAATTTGACGTTTAAACATTATCATAATAAAAACAAAAGAATAACATCAAGCGATTTAATTTTTTTATCAATTTTCCACAAGAATTAACTAAAACATGGAATATCTCGGAAACCGTTTGAAGCAGCTTTTGAAATTTTGCATCAAATTAAAGGTCTGGGAAAAAGGAAAACAAGGGTGAAGAACAAAATGGGGGGTGCCATTTGAAAAAATGGAGTTACGGATGTTTAAAAGTTTAAAAGTTGAGAGCTTTGAAAAAGTGACGTAGTCTCACTTTTTTAGACGGTTACGCATACCATAAGAAAATTCGATCTTTCCTTAATAAAGCATTGAAAACTGTTTTGCAATATCTCTCACCGTTTTCGAATAATAAATTTTTAAAATTACCCCTGCAAATTCAAATTTTTGACACAAAAACTTGAATATCGGCGAAGACCTTGGAGCAAAGGGTCAACTATGGGGTATCGTTGTACTCCAAATTCGACGTATAATCCGAAAATGTAGAAAAAATAGGGGGTCCCTATTTAAAATAACAAAGTTGATGGCTACTTCCGGTATTTCCGGAAGTGGCGCCATTTTGAAAATATTTTAGTTCAATTCATCATGTGCCAAAACCCTTAAAGGGCTTATCAGTTTAGCTTAATTTTCAAAGGTTTTCCATATCTTTCTAACTGACGCTCGTCAAGAATGACCCTGTATAGCCATGGTCAAGGCCATATTATCATTTTTTTTATGTGTATACGTACACATGTTTACAACCTTCCTTCGACTTGTTATATTCAAAACTACAAAAGTGGTTATAGTATTTTTTAACTTCAAATATATAAACGCACGATTCTAATACAAAGCTATATTAACGCGTCAGTTGTCACTACTTACATCTATAGTAACACAACACACCTCGTTGTATGGTTATGGAGATATTTACAAGGTAAAAAAATTTGGGATTCTTTTTACCCTTAAAGCCACGGTAATGAGTTGAACATACAAATACAAAAGATGCGATTACTTTATTTTACGGTATTACAGACATCGACATTCATTAGCATTCGACCTACAGGCTGCTCTGCTAGCCTATTTCCAAAAAAGATCGTCGAGCCAGGAGAAATCAATGGGGGAAACTCCTAACCGAAGGCAGCTTTGTTTTTCTCGGAAATTTTCTAGATTCCACAGTTTACGCAATCGAATAGAAAACGATTTGATAACGAAGATAATTTTAATAATTAAATGCGAGAAAATTACGAAATCTAAGGCTAGATTATGTCATATTGTTTATATACCGTCCACATTCCTAGAAAAGGATCCACAAGTCAAATTCACGTTGATTTTACGATTCCCGCAGACCGTAATTCGCGATTGATTTCCGTTACCAACGATTTAATTTTTTACGCAAACTTTACGGATGGTCCATTTCTATTGCTCCTTCTCTTGTCGACATGCACAAGAGTTTTACAGCAGATTATTTTTTCTGCCTTAACTGATTCACCACTTGAAGGTACTACCCCACTATACCTATGTTTCAGTATTGTTTTCAGTTTTCGGGGGTGATTTTTGAGTGTATTACTTTTTGAAGTCAAGTTTTTTAGTTTGAGTATTCATAAAATATAATTAATTTAGTACCTACAGGAGTGCTGTATAGTAACAATAATTGTGTTACTACTTTGGACAAGCCTACTTCTAAAACTAATTTGCGTGATAACAAATGTTCCATATTTGTGCGACTGGAGAAAAAAAATTTGTTGCACTGCAGCAGCATAATATCATAAAACACTCAACTTGCTGGATTTAAAGACGCAATTTACCCTAATACCTTACATGGTACGTAATGGGAAAACTTTACTTATTTTACGACACAAAACAAATATCACTTAGGTATCAATAGCTTCTGATCAAGAAGTTGATCCTAAGAGAGCTTTTATATTGCCTATTTCCAAAACAGGAAAATCGTATTATCGGTTATTTTTCGTGATCTTATCCTCTTATTAATGACTTAACATTAATGCAAGTTTTCCTATCATCAGATCAGAGGAAATGAATTGTGATTATTTTATAATAAATTGATCATTTACCTTTTCGTGTATATATCCGTAATCTTTCATTATCCGGATAATGAAATGCGATGTTGGTATTGGAAAGTACTAAACGAAAAGGAAATGGGAATTCCAACTACGGACGACTGACTTTGGAAACTCAAAGTTCTCCGCTTGATCAAATTGTTCGGAAAAGTAACTTGGATGTGAAAACTGCTTGCTTTACTGTTTTTCTTGAGTGTTTTAGTTAACTATTCGACCATTTTCGTAATCGCTTAATGCCGTTGCTTTCATGGATAATATTTTATTAAGAGATACGCGACTGTAAATAGCAAAATGTTAAAAGGTAGAATAAGTAGCTACGTCAACCAAATTACTTTCACTAGGGCAGATCAACGTTCAGTTTTTTTTATTTTAGACCAATTGGATCTCGTGAATTGTTGATTGCATATTAATCAAGTTCTCAACGATTAACCATCAATTGAAGTAAGCAACGCTCGAATATGATGTTGGCGTTTGCTATTGACTGGTTAATTGTTATATAACGACATGTAAATTTAAGGCACAATAATAATGTAGGAAGCGGTAAACTAGTGGTAAGAACAGAGGATTGTAACACGAAGGTGCCGAGTTCGATTTCCGGGCCCGCCAACACACGATCTTGTTCACCCCGGGATAATAATGGACAGCTATGGAGTATAGTGCTGGCTACATTCCAGTTATGGCAGGGTCAAACCTACTTATTTCGTAGAACGTCGTTAGATCTTGTAACGTAAGGCAATAGTCGAGTTTCTGAGTTGGTAGGCCATATTCTATATTTTTTATTACCATATTTATGTTTGGAGTGGTTTCTCTTTCTCTTCTTCATGTCTATGATGGCTCCATTGAAACGTTTATACAAAACTGAATTTTCAATTAAATAATACGAGCTATGTTACATTATTACACAGCATTTTTTCTCCTTATGTATGTTTTTTTTAGGGTTTTAACACTCAATCTTCAAGCTTTTTAGTTTTCTTATC